CTCTCTCTCTCTCTCTCTATCTATCTATCTCTATCTATCTATCTATCTATCTATCTATCTCTGTGTCAGGCTGATGGATGTTTTTTATAATTTTTGCCGTAAATGATCTCTAACCCGTCATCGTCCTGATTATCCCCATCGTGCCCTTCCTCTCCCATTATTAGTAATTGCCTAAACGTCGATAGTACTTGGCTACAACTTTTTCAAGTGAACCTGGCCATCTTTACAGCCGTATCCTTCCAGGAACGAACTCATTTGCTTCCCGATATTTATGCTAAAACCTTTTCTTCAACTGAATCTGTCCACCATTGCAGCCACGTCCATCCAGAACAGCCCCCATGTGCACAAGCTGCAACTCCTGGAGCGAGGTCCCACTCGCAAAGAAGATTGGATTTAACGTCCGAATCTGGACGTGTTGCGTCGACGGGTGCAGAAATCGGGATTGCTCTGCTTTTCTGTATCTCCGCTTAAGAACCATCCAGATTCAGACACTTAATCCATTCCTCTTTGCTAGTGCGACCTCGTCCCTGATCGACCGTTGCGCTACCCTTTCTCCCTGATCGACACATTAAGTCACAATGCTGTGTAGTGGGCACTTCCCGTCTCAAGGACACGTATGTATGTGTGTGCAGAGCCTGGAACAATACATTCTAGATCGGTGTATTACCTACCTTGTTCGGCTTTTTCCCTACTAATTAATATTTTCATTTATATTTTTATTTATTTAATACGAAAAAAATACTACAAAATACATTTTCATTATTTTTCCTATATATACTTTCACATATATGAAGAGAGAGCGCCTGCGAAAAAGTGCACATATTAGACTCGGACTTTCTGAAATGTATCTGACCACAAATACAGCTGGATTAAGATGAAGAAGTCCCAGAGCGAGTACCCTAATCATGAGAGAGAGGGGGGGGGGGAGAAACAAGAGCAAGAAGAGAAATAACAGGCACAGAAAAACTGTATATATAATTATTCCAAAATTAAATAGGAAGAAATCAGGAGAGGCGAAATTAGTATTTTATAGACCAAAAGACAATAAAAATGGACAAGAAATGATCTACTTTATATTATTATATTATAACTCTAAGACTATATAAAAGATATATATCGTCACAAAGTTATCAGAACGCAAAAGCGAAAAAAAAAAGGAAGAAAACAAGAAAAAAATCAATTATATTTTTTTTTATATTCTTCCTTACGACTCCCCCTGTCCAGAACCTTCTGCGTACAAGGCCGCCCACGTGGTTGTAGGTTGAGCGGCGGCTATATATACATATATCGTCAAACAGAACTGCCCGTTAAACCGTGGGCAGAGAGGGAGGGAGAGAAGAGGGCAACAAACAAGGGGCTGTCACAAACTGTTTCGTCGATGAAGTTTCACCTACCTACTCAACAGGAGGCTCAACCCTCAACAGTCTATATATTGTCACACTGTGAATCGGAGCGCAAAGAAGGAAAAAGACAAAACATTAAATATAATAATAATAATAACGAATAAATAATTAAAAAAAAAAAAAAAAAAAAAGAAAGAAGTAAGGAAGGAAAGCTCCGCCGCATCTTAGAATATATAAAGCTGTCATAATTTATTTTAAGGGCAGACACTGAAAGAATATTAGGAGTGGCGGGCGACATAAGAACAGCGGCCAAGTCCCACTAGCAGCGTTGAGCTACCTCAACGCCTGAATCTGGACGTGTTTGTGGAGATGTGCAGAAATGGTGTTGAGTTTGCTGAACTGCACGTCACCACAAACACGTCCAGATTCAGGCCTTGAGGTAGCTCAACGCTGCTAGTGGGACTTGGCCCCAGGGAGAGGAGGAGGAGGAGGAGGAGGAGGGGGGTGCCGAGGAGCGAAAGAAATATTCATTATATGATATATTATTATCGTAATACACTAGAATATTAGAAATTAATTAATCTCTCTTCGAAAAAAAATAAAAATAAAAAAATGAAATCAGTAATCCCTCGGGGAGGGAGGGTAGGCAAGCGGGAGATTTTTTTATTTTATTTTTTTTGCGGGAGATGAATGAGGAGCACCGGGTTGTTTTTATCTTTTATTCTCAATAAAAAAAAAAAATCGAGCATTTCTCGATTTTTGCGTCCTGTCATCCTTTGAGTGCGCAGAGGCCATGACAATTGTTTTATTTCCATGAACCTAGCCAGAAAAGCGCTACACATTCAAAACAGAAGTCGATGAAAGACGGAGAAAAGGGCGCGCGCGGTTGGCGGCGAGGGGGGCAAGCAGTCAATATAGCAATGGCGGCTATTTAAAATAAAAAATAAAAATAAAAAAATACTAGAAAAAGACCAATCAGAGAAAGAAAAAAAACGGCAAAAAAAAAAAAAAAGGAAAAAAAAAA